CCCCAAAATTAGACTCACACAAAAACAATAAAAACAATATGTTAGATTTGTTCCAAGCCATGGTTTGCTTCGCAAACCAAATTAATATATCTTTTTTCACATCGAGACAAAAAAATTTCATTGAAATTGATCCATGATGAACTCAGCTAAAACAAACATCATCAACGCCACCACTAGCCAATGAAATTGACGGGTTTCCTCCTGGTAGAGTCACACACCACCAATGGATGAATCCTTGCTAAGACATAAGCTGTTGCCCTCCACTGGAAACTACTATTCCAACATGTCCTTTTCTAGATGAATTTGGCTTTGCATAACGCCAAAGGTGTCTTCCAATCGACCACAAAAGAGATCAAGCACTGGCAATGCAAGAGGATTAGTCTTTGAAGTTTATTGTGTTAGTGTCTCCAAAGTAATTCAACCAATGATGCTAAGAGGGGGATGTTTCTCTATGGTATGAATGTAGGTGAGGATTATGGATTTAAGTAGAAGATAGAAGGAAGTGGTGCAGCTTTCAAATCGAAGAGATCTCTCGAAAAGAGTGCCTATCGCTACCTAACCCTAACCTTAACCTTAGAGTTGGTGCATAAGAGTAATTGAGTTTTTAATTGAATTTATGAATTTTAAATTGGAAGCTTTAACAAAATCAATATTGTAAAGGTATTTTGTGCAATAATTTAAAATTAGTAGTCAATTTTTTTGGTGTATTCTAATAGTTGATAATTGTTGTTATTGTAATTAATAATTAAAACACTTTTATTTAGCATGTTGAACAAAACCACTTTTTTCTTTTTTCTTTTTTCTTTTTTTGAACTGAAGTTAAATTATAGAAACCACTTATTTCTCATAAATAATAAGTTAAAGAACTTAATTTCCTCAAAAATGACTATAAAGTATCAATTGTTGATAGTAAAAAAGTTTGAGGTCTTATTGGAGTTTTCCAATTAAATTACCACTAAGGCTTCTTTTGCCTTTCCGTAAAAGAATAGCTTTATATCGAAATCGTCATCCAAAGACTCCGCTCAAGTCAACCATGTTTCCTT